TGGCTTGTTTGATTTTGCAACAGTGTACTTTAGGACTTTAGGGCTTGTCTGATACTACTACGATATTACAACACCACTAGAACGGCGATGTAGGGGGTATATGTGGCCTTATAGGGCTTAGGATTTTAGGGATCAGGCTTCTACAGTTTTGGGGTCATGAACATTTAAGAGTTCAGTGCGTCTAGAGTTCAGGGTTTAGGGTTCAGGCTTTAAGTAAGGGTTCGCGGCTTAGGGTTACCCGACCATCGCTGTGTTGTGGTCACCATACACCCAAAGGGTCCCAGCACCCACAACTCCTATGCCAACCTATAATAAACACTTGTGCAAACACCCGATGAAGCCCCGTAAACGCCTATCAACACCCTTAAGCCCCTGCAGTAATCCTCCCCCTGGAGCCCTAGACAAGCCCTTAAACGGCCCATTGCTTTGAAGTTCCCAGGCGGGTGGTTCCCCAAATTAGGGTCCCCTTTTAGGTCCCCAAATATAATACGGCACCCTTACCTAAACCCTAAACCCAAAACCCTACACCCTAAACCCTAAACCCTAAACCCTAGCTTGTGTTCTACCCATGTACAGACTTCGAACCCGGCTCCGTCCGGACTTCCCTGGGGGCCCGAGCAGTTGGAATGATCTGTTCTATGTCTGGTTGTTACTTGTTGTGGGTTTAGGGTTTAGGGTTTAGGGTTTAGGGTTTAGGGAAAGTTGCGGAGACGATGAGGGGGTATTCTTACTATGCATTCAGGCCCCTATATTATAGGATTCGGGTTATGTCAACCCCATGAGATCTACCCGCGGGACCTTGGCGACAGTCCTCGTCGGCGAATCGTAACGGACAAGCATTCGGATTTGGTCGACTTCGTTCTGCGTGGTCTCTTCGCCGCAGTGTTGAGAGCTCCAATCAGCGATCTCGATGCGCATGGTCGGAAATTCACATATGGCTGTTCCTCTGGATGTTCGTCGTGCCAGAAGCTGCAGCCCATATTGCATTGTGCATACGGGCAGGATGCCTTTACACCCGTCCATGATCGGCGTGCAATTCTCCACGAACACAGCCTGCAAGGTATCTTGTACGAGGACTACACAAGGGGGGCTGTCTAAGCTCGCTTTAGGCATCCCTATTTTCTGAAATGCCCACAAGGGCAAACGCAGACTTGTATTTCCAAAAAGCTCCATTATTGAACCTCCAACCCTTCACTCTAAACCCTAAACCCTAAGCCCTAAACCCTAAACCCTAAACCCTTGCGGCCTTCAGAGCTCTCCGCCATGGTGCATGTTTCCCCAAGCAACCAGGCTGCCTTTCCGCAAGGTCGCGACGAAAGCGGTGCCAGTGGATTGAATGCTCCAGACCTGTCCCGAGTTTGGGTTTAGGGTTTAGGGTTTAGGGTTTAGGGTTTAGGGTTTAGGATTGAATGCTCCAGACCTGTCCCGAGTTTGGGTTTGCGATCCTTTCTAGACATTTTTTTTCTCCGATTTCAGGATCTGACCAACTATGACACCAAAAAATCTAGAAATCCCGACCTTACTACCCGGAAAAGTGTAAAGGTTACCTACTCTATGAGGGTTTGGGGTTTAGGGTTAGATGCTGCCCAAGGGGCATCCTTGAGCTGGCTCTGCACAGAGCTGCTGTCACCCCCACATGGTGGATGGCCCCAGGTGACAACCTTTGCTAATCTGCTCGGTTTAGGGTTTAGGGTTTAGGGTTTAGGGTTTAGGGCAACGACACTCCAAACCTTTTACCCAAATGGCCACACTCCCCAAACAAGGTCACACTACTAGACTACTCGCCTCTATCCCGGTTTTGATGTTTTCTTAAATGCCACTCCCCCCTGTCCCAAACTTAACCCGAAACCCCAAGCCCGAAACCCTAAACCACAAGCCCCAGACCCTAACCCCCAAAACCCAAACCACAAACCCCAAACCCTGAATCCTGAATCCCAAAACCGTAAACTAACCCCGAAACCTTCAACCCCAAACCCTAAACCTTAAACCTTCAGACTCACCATGAACCCTAAGATACCTCCGAGGAAGGTCAAAGGTGCAGTTCCGTCCCGGCGGATCGCTGCGAAGGCGTCTGAGCAAGCCTCGGACAACGTGGAAGCTTTAATAAGGAAGCAGCTGTTTAGGGTACCTTTTTGCGGGGTACTATAGGGTTCTATGATAGGGTTCCCCTTGAGGGTTAAAGGTTTAGGGCCTACTTTAAGCATCACGGGAGTTAATAACTAAGTTTATGAAAAGGACAGCCACACCTGTAATTACTTATGGCCCCAAAAAAAGCCAGGCACTTCTAACCTTACGTACAAAGTTCCATGATCCTCCGAATAACGGTACATCGAGTTCAAGGTTTGGGGAACTTTTAGATTTAGGGATTTAGAGTTTAGGGTTCTTGGTTTCATGTTTTTCACTATTGGTCCAGGAGTGTAGCTTGCGACAAACCCCCATTTTCTGAAACCTGTTGACCCAAGACCCGCAACCCTTCGCCCCTGAGACGTCTTGTAGAACACTATGTAGCTATGTAGAACCCTGAATGATTACCGATATTCGTCCTTAGGGATCCTTGCTGTAACTATACCCTTAAAGGCCGTTAAACCGAAACCTGACAAATTAGACCGGCGGAGACCACAGACAGCTGGGAAAGCGTCAGAAAGGTTCACGGCTTCGCACATAAATGTTTGTCAAATTGGTTATAACCAGGAAGGTAAACCAGTTGGCTCTTTTCTTGTGTTGCCCCCAGATAGTTTGGCTCGTGCAGCGCTGTTTTGGGCTCAGGCTTGCCAATCCGCGAATTGCAATGTATGGGCTCACTCTTCTTCACATGCCTAAATTGCAGCTTGTGGCGCAATTTAAGCTCCGCTCGACCTTGCCATTCTTTCGGGTCACTGGGCTGGGTGTTTGCCAAGGTCAAGAAATTCCTATCCTTGACAATGACAGTCGATCTCACATTGGACATTTTGTCACTCTGTCACCGGTCAATCGGGACGTTTGCGCTGGCAAAGTCTTGGAGGCTTCGATTTGAAGACTAAAAATTTCCTTTCTCTGTCTTGACGCGCCGGATCGATTTCAGCGGCGGCTCATTCACTTCCCATGCGTCATACGTGTAATTATGAGCATTTTTTATGCCCTGTGCCTGTGCCGCAGCAATCATCCGAAGATAGTCATGCAAATCCGACACGCACAGCAAACCCCGAATGCACCAAGTTGTTGCTCCGTTCCCGACAACACATCAGTCAAACAGCTCGCTGCCAATCACGCCGTAATCTACAACGGCATGCGGAATCACAGCCGGTGTCAGGTACGCTAATGCACCCTGTCGCACAATCGGAAGAAGGCTTCCAGTCGAGTCAAAAGGCAAGATAGTCTCGGGCCTCTACGGTCCCAAAGCCCTGCAACAACAATCGGCAATACTGACCAGTGGAGGCGGCATCGCAATGCACATGTAGAACTGCACGCTCACTACTGAATAATGTTTAATGCTCGTGGACATGGTGCGCCTCACCTGCAGCGGACAGATCAACTAATTTTGTTTAATTTTTCTGTGGCAAGTTTGGCGGATTCAGGAGCGTTTATGGACCCAGCCAGTGCACTTGTTGCTGCTGCTGGCTAGCTTTCATGTCCGAGACCTGTCCCCGAAACTCGTCAAAAAAACAACTAAATTTGATTGTTCTTATGTCGGCATTTTGGGCGGGTCTAGGAGCGCTTGTTGAACCCAGCTTGTGCATTTGTTGCTGACATTGGCTAGCTTTCGAGCCGGAAATCAGCCCCAAAAATCGCCCAAATTCGGTTGATTTTTCGTTGGCAATTTGGGCGTGTCCAGAACCACTTTTTGGACTCGGCTTGTTCATTAGTTGCTCCACAAAGCTCGCCCAACAAATGCACTCAATTTGATTGATTTTGGTTGGCACTTTCGGGGGGTCAAGGAGCGCTTGTTGAACCCGGCTTGTGCGCTTGTTGCTGACGTTGGCTAGCGGCTAGTTTTCAGCACCCCCTTCGCCGGCCCCCATGCCACCTGCTCGCCGGCTGCTTGCTGCTACACGCCCCTCACCGGCGGCAAACAAGGCGCGCCCCCCACCTGCATGCCGCCCGCATGACGACTGCATGCCGCTGCACCCCCCTCACCAGCGACGGACACGGCGCGCCCCACCTGCATGCCGACTGCATGCTCATCAATCTGAAGACACCCAAACAGCAAACAAACGCCACAGAACTCCGTAACTCTGAAAAGCAGAATAAGAAGAACTACAACAAAAGGGGCTTGCAGCCAGAAGACTTGAATTTGCTGCACATCTAGTAGCTGCGCCTGGTTCTGTTGCGACGCGATGCTTCCAAATCTGCGTGGTTCTATCGTCTGACTCCTAAACTACCTTAACCCTAAGCCCATAAGCCCTGACCCCTGAAGTTCTTGATTTCGGTTCAAGGTTTGGGGTGTGGGCTTTAGGTCCGCTGAGGACCGAAGTCACGAACCCGCTCCAAGCAGGAGAGAAGACTAAGATCACCACGGAGCATGCTAGGACTCTATCGGCGGATGGCAATTAAACCCTATAACATGTCTGCTTTCGGAATCCGAAGTTTCTGCCGGGTTTCAAACTCTGGAAAACCGTTTCGCTGGATTCATGGCAATCGTCATGCTGCTTTTCAGAGGAGCTTCCCGGCGTATCTTTCCAGCTCCACCGCACAGGGTTCTCAGCACCCTCGTGTCCAAGTCGTGGACTTCGATCCCTGAAAGGAAAACAGGTTTTACTCCACTAGACCCGAGGCCAAAAGCCAAAGCCAAGACCGTGCCATATCTTCAAAGTGGTAGTTCTCTAAATTAGGGCCCCTTTTTGGGTCCCCAATGTAGTACGGCACCCTTATACAAAGGTCCCCAAAAAGGGACCCTAATTTAGAGAACTACCCATATGAACTATAATATGTAGGCTAAAGACCCTAAACCCTAAACCCTAAACCCAAGTGAAGAGCTGTACCTGCAACAGCGAACGCAAGTAATGACGCTTCCACGACGGCGCCTGAACTGCAGCGCAGTTTCCTCCTCGATCCTGCAGCTCACACCGAGAGGCGGTTTCGGACTTTGGGTTTAGGGTATCGGGTTTTGGGGTTTGGGGTTTAGGGTATAGGATTCACGGTTTGAGATTTCGGGCTGCGGGTTCTAGGTGAGTGAAATCAGATACAGCAGAAGTTTAGATGGAACTCTACTGTAAAATAATGCAGCAACATTGGGATTACAGTAGCACCTGTAGCAACAGCAGTAGTTGAATTGACTGGTAGCGGCAGCACCATCACCACCGCCACCACCACCACCACTACCGCCACCACCACCGGAGCACTCTGCCGTAAGCCTAGTTCTCATCTTCGCTACCAGACGCAGCAGTTAAACATCGAAACTTCCGGAAACAGCCCACTTGGAGGTTCATGGGTAGTTACAAGCGGGGTTATAATCAGGGTATCTATAGTTATAACCCATATTAAGGGACTTATGACCCTACTTCTAACTTGAACCTCCAAGCAATCACAACAGATTGGGGCCGCGGGGCCTCTCGTCCCCAACACACGACGGAGCCATCCGCCCGGAGGGCGGCAAATGCGCCACGGGCTGCCTCGCCGGAAGTCTGACTCTGGACCAACTTGGGTTTGAGCTGGGGTTTCGCCCCTGAACCCTCAACCCTAAACCCTGAACCCTAAACCCCTAAACGCTAAACCGGTTCGAGGTTCGTGGTTGAGGAGGGTTGGGCCTCCGAAGCAAGCAAACTGCCAACGAAGGGCGGTAGGTGTTTCGTTCCCAAAGCGGGGCTGCCGCTTGGCCGGCCCCGAAATACAGATACCGTTACCGTTAGAGTCAGAAGCCACTGATGAAAGTTCACAGTTTAGGGTTTAGGGTTTAGGGTATAGGGTTTAGGGTTTAGCCTAGTCCACCAAGACTCTGACCCTGTTACTTCTGCCTGGATCTCAGACACAGCGACCAGCTGGTCAGCCACGGCATGGCAGTCCCCGCCGTCACCAGGCGAACCCCAAGCCACCACCTTGGCTCTGGGGTTGAAGGTTTAGGGTTTACATCTTCAGAGGTCTCAAACACCGTCATCGTCAGTATAATACCGCGAGAATCATAACTATCAGCTATCATCCATCTTCATCTTCTTCCTCGGCGAAATTATCAACAACATCGTCCAATGAGCCACCACAATCATGAATCACCATCACTGTATCAGCCACATCACATCATCGCCATCACCCCCTCATCACCATCATCGTCTACATCATCAGGATTTACCGCAATCATCGTCGTCATCATCATCATCATCGTCATCATCACTGGCTGCTCTTCGTCTTCTCTTTGCCGACCCTTTGCATGTAAGGTCAGGGAGCTAAGGGACAAATCAAAGTCTCAAATCCCAACCTGTCCGCCCCCGCCCCAAGTCAGCCCTAAAGCCCCCCGGATCACAAACCCTGCGAATTCAAGTCGTAGAGGTTGAACAGCTAACCGACGATCGCAGCGCGGCAAAACAGCTTCAAGATTCGGCTAACGCTTCCATGGGGTCTACTTGGAGGCTCATGGGTAGTTGTAAGTGGGTCATAAACCCCCTAATATGGGTTATAGCTATAGTTACCCTACCTATAACCCCACTTATAACTACCCATGAACCTCCAAGTAGGGCCTATGGCAAGAACCCGCTCGTTCTCTCAAGGATTTGACGACATTCCGAAAGCGCGAGTTGGACTTTTTCAGACAGCTTCGGACCTTCACATGAATCGTAATGCATGGGTAGTTGTCAAAATTATGGTCCCTTTTGGGGTACCCTAAATAATAGGTGCCGTGTTATAATAAGGACCCAAAAAGGGACCATAATTTTGACAACCACCCACATGGATCCCAACAAACAGGACTGTTTCAGTCAACAACCGAATCGAATATTAAGGACTTCCCACACCCAATGAACAATTCAGTTCAAGTCGAAACAGCATGGAAGAATCACGCTTCCCGAAAAATGGAGCACGACACGCCAAGACTAAGGGTGTAGAGCAAACCATATATCATGTATCACAAGCCAAGTAGAAGCCACATAGTTCAACTTAAGGTGAAGAGGAGGGAATTCCAGCCCTAACCATCCTCAACCCATGTTCCAACTTTCTGGCGTTCACTGTATACCATATACAGTATGAAGCACATAAATACCCTGCAATAGGAAGAAGAAGGATGTCTACGAGCAACGATATAGAGTTCTCCCCATTCAAAACCTTCGGCCCAGCAGCAGATCCATCCTCGCGAAGAGCAGCGAAGGCCGACCTGGTCGCCTGAATGTGGACGACCTGTCCAAATGTTTAGGATTTGGGGCTTAAGGCTTAGGGTTCGGGGTTTGGGCATAGAGTTTAGGGTCTCGAGTTTGGGGACTTCGGTTTGGGGTTTAGGGTTTACCCTAAACCCTGAACCCCAAACCCTAAACCCTAAACCCAATACCACATGCCGAAAGAATTAGAAGAGGCTTTGGCGGGTCGAGCCTGCTATATAGTATACCACGGACTCGAAGGGCATTAGGGTTTAGGGTTTAGTTTATTATTACTAACGATTCCCAGCCATGTGTCATTTACGGACATCTGTCGGCCAACACAGCGAACCAAGTCCGAACCTTTAGCGCTTTGGCCAGGTCACTACTCTACGGGGATAATCTGCTGAACTACCCTGAAACTCTTAACCATCCTCGCCTCAGCACCGAAACCGAAAATTTCAACGCAGTTGCGAGATTTTCAGCCGTCAATAACCTAGGCACAGGGATCCTGCCTGTGTCAGCTGCTGCTGCACGCCTGGGCTGTTCTTACCCGACACGGCAGTTCTTGAAGGTTTGGGGTTTTACTGGCCGAAGGTTCATTGTTTGTGGTAGGCCTTGACTGCACTGCAAACCACCGAATCAAACTAAATTCACTTAACCCTACTTGGAGGCTCATGGGTAGTTGTAAGTGGGTCATAAACCCCCTAATATGGGTTATAGCTATAGNNACTGCCCATGAACCTCCAAGTAAAGCATCCAAAACTCTTAACCAGGAGTCTTTGCTAAATCCCTCACAGCCGCGTCCTGCGTCTCCCCCGCAGTCTTCATTGCCCCAAGCTATGACCGAGCCATCAGCCAGCAAAGCTGCGAAGGCTTGTTCCTTCGCTCTTCAACAGTCAGAGGAAGGATGATTTCCCAACCAAGACACCTCAAACCCTAAACCCAAACCCTAAACCCCTAAACCCCTAAACCCCTAAACCCCTAAACCCTAAACCCTAAACCCTAAACCCCAACCCTAAACCCTAAACCCCAAAGTGCCCTAGCAGATCAATACGAAGCCTCG